CTTTGTACTAGGTGCTCCTCTCTTCCTATTTCTAACCTTTATTTCAATTTCTGATGTGAAATAAAGGTGTACACACACACACACACACACACACACACACACACACACACATATATACCTATATCTGCAATAATATAAACAATATGCATATTGCTTATATTACTGGAATATTTTGTGGCAAAACAAGGAGCATGTTGTAATTAACTAAAGTAAGAGTATGAAGAATTTAGTTCTCACCCAAATATTGCGGATTACTAAGATTTGACAATGAGCAAATTATTCAACTGCTTAGCCTCGGAATAATGTTTAAAATGAGTGTGTTGGACCAAAGAATATTGGTCCTCTAAGATAATATTGATCTTCTAAGGATAATGCTGCTCTTGGATCTAAGTAATTATTTTAAGAACTAGTATCCTCATGATAACTACCCTTTTAAAAAAGTGATACATAAAGAATTATCAGCACTTCAGTTCAAAGTTCCTGCACCTTGCAGTATAACAACAACAACAACAAAATAAAAATCTTAAACATAGAGCCAGTCATTTACGATTCTACAACTCTTGCTGTCATTTTCAGTGATTATAAAGGGAAGGGACTCAAAAAGAGGATTTCTAAGATCTTTTTAATCTCTGGAACTCTATTAATGATGTACTAAGAAAAAAGACATACTCAATTTGTCTTTAATAACCATTGAAAATAGGAAAGAAATCCTGGCACAAAACTGATACATCTGAAACTGTTTTATGTTATCTGAGATTATTTCCAGAAATATATTCACAAACTCTAGTCATTTTGGGTAGCTTCATATCTCATAGTAACAGCTCTTCTATGTGAGATCTTAAGAAGATACCTAGCAATACAGGCACTGAAGTCCTAGGTAGAACTTAATTCATGGAGACATACAGCTGATGTTCAAATTTTCCCTATAATTTTCTTGCTACTCAGTTTTCAAGCCTACATTTTCACTTCTTCTGTGATGAAGAATGCACCATCTTCCAAAATAGTTCATTTTAGTTCTGAAGATATATGCCCACATATGTATATATAGTGCAAATAAATATGCATTTGTAGGGTAAGGTTCATGCCCCTCTCAAATTATTTTCATGTGACGGGGTAATTATTTCTAATTTCACTAATGTGACTCAGTATGAAAGTGGAAAGACTGCAGGTTTGTATGCCAAAAGCACTTAAATGTAAATCCTACCACTCTGACTTCTTTTTTTAAATTTTTTTATTACAGAATACTAAGGGGATACAAACTTTTTGTTACATGAATAGCTTTATAATGCTTTAGTCAGGGCTATAAATGTGCCCATCACCTGAATATTGTTCATTGTACTTGTTAGGTAGGTTTTTACCCCGTCTCTCCTTCCTCCAGCCCCCTTCTTGATTTCCAGTGATTTTTATTTCTTTCTGTGCCCATGTGTGCCCATCAGTTAGTTCCAAATTATTAGGGAGTACATGGGTGTTTGTTATTCCATTCTTGAGATGCTTCACTTAGGATACTTATTTCCAGTTCCATCCAAATTGCTGCAAAAAGACATAAATCCAATCCTTCTTGTGGCTGAGCAATATTCTATGGTATGTATGTGTGACATACAGACGCACACGCACACACGCCCGACATCTTGTTAATCCACTCATGAATTGATGGACACATGGGTTGATTCCATATATCTGCAACTGTGAATTGTGCTGTAATAAACATTTGAGTACAGGTGTCTGTTTGATAAAATGACTTCTTTCCCTTTAGGTAGATACCCAGTATTGGGATTGCTGGATAGAATGGTAGGTCTACTTTTAGTTCTTTGAGAAATCTCCATACTGTTTTCTATAGAGGTTGTACTAATTTGCAGTCCCACCAACAGTTTATAAGTGTTCCTTTCTCTCTGCATTCACACCAGCATCTACTGTTTTTGGACTTTTTAATAAGAGCCATTCTGGGACAGGTAAGGCGATATCTCACTGTGGTTTTGATTTGCATTTCCCAGATGATTAGTGATGCTCAGCATTTTTTATATTTCTCTTGGCCATTTGTCTTTCGCTTTTTGAGAAGCATCCGTTCATGTCTTTTGCCCACTTTTTAACAGGGTTGTTTGTTTTTTTCTTGCGGATTTGTTTGAGTTCTTTGTAGATTCTGGATATTAGCCCTTCATCGGATATATAGTTTGCTAATGTTTTCTCTCATTCTGTAGGTTTCCTATTTGCTCTCTTGATTATTTCCTTAGATGTGCAGAAGCTTTTAAATGTAATCAAGTCCCATTTATTTATTTTTGTTGTTGCTGTAATTGCCTTTGAGATCTTAGTCATAAATTCTTTGCCTAGGCCAATGTCTAGAAAAGTTTTTACTACATTTTCTTTTAGAATTTTTATGGTTTCATGCCTTACATATAAGTCTTTTATCCATCTTGAATTAATTTTTGCAAATGGTGAGAGAAAGGGGTCCTGTTTAATTCTTCTGCATGTAGCTGTCCAATTTTTCCAGCACCATTTATTGAAT